CATTATACAATTATACAATTATACAATTATACGTGGGCTCCCAGGTATATGTATATTTCCCCGCTATTCGCCATTCGCATGTAAACAGTTGTACGGTTATACAGTTATACTCTTATACCATTATATCATTATACAATTGTGCATGGGCTCCTAGGTATATTGACATTTCCCCGCTATGCGGTTGACAAAGGTTTTCTCTGGCGTATCTCCCACTACGTGTTGCGTGATGTAAGCTGGGGCGTTTGCTTGTACACCTAGTGGATGATGGCGACGCCACCTTTTGTGGGCCCTGGTGGGTGGTTTGCTTTCTGCCCACTAGTGTGGCTATAGCTTATCTACAGCTTCCCGCCCTCATGCCTCGGATGTCGTGCTAGCCTTCCAAGTCTTGTGTGCCTCAAGTATATGAGTGTGTTTCCCAAATTGTGCCGCTGTCATGAGTTCGTACTCCCAGTTTTGTTCTACCTGTTTTATCACATCCTGGATAGTGGGGGGTATTGTTTTTTTCCACAACCTGGATATCGTCAGGTTTGCTGATATGAGTGTGTGATAGAGAATCGTCCTAATGTGCTTCGGAATGCCCTTGGGCAACATAAACAAGATGCATGTTTGTGGGTTATCTAACCTGGGTGTCGGATGCATTTTTTGTAAAAGTTGGATCACCTCCTTCCAAAATGGGCTAAGTGTGGCGCAGGACCACCAGATATGTAGCATGGTCCCCACCTCTCTCCCACATCTCCAGCATTTGTTGGTGGTGTTTGGCCACATCTTTTGGAGTTTGTCTGGTACTAAGTACCAGCGGTACAATAGTTTGCGTTGTAGTTCTAGGTGTGTGTGGCATGCTGTGAGTCCCTGGTGCGCCAGATATGCCCGGTCCCATGTGTCTTCTGGAAACGTCTGTCCTAGCTCTTGGTGCCACGCCTGTTTGATCTTATCTAGTGTTTGTGTTCGTGTTGCTATCAGCTCCTGGTATCCCCATGATAGGGTTTTCCCCAGTGTCTTTTTGCCCACACAGTGTTTTTCAAGTCTCGTCATATTCAGTTCATCGTCCCATTTGTCTTCAGCGTCTAGTTTACTTGAGACGTAGGACTTTAGTTGCATGTAAGAGAATATGACCTTATTGGGCAGTGTGTATTCCTCCTGGATTGCCGGTAGTGATTTCAGTCGCCCCCTGTCTATCACCTGATATATATGGTGTATCCCCCCTTTCACCCATGTCTCCCACGGGAAAGTTGGGATGTCCAGCCCTACTGTTTGGATTGGTGTGGCCATGGGAAGCTTTTGCTTTGCCACCAGTTTATCTCTTATTTTGTGCCATATTTGTAGAAGGGTCTGGGTGCTGGGCAAGAGTTTGTCCCGGGCGTGCCTAGGGCAGTTTCCTTGCCATATCAGTGCTCGTAGGTCCCGCCTGGGTGCCCAGTGCGCTTCTATGGCTACCCATTGTGGTGCCTTGGCGGGGAGGTTTATTTGTGTTATGTTATGGAGGTATGCTGCTCTATAGTAAGCCGTTAAGTTCGGGAGGCCTAACCCCCCCTGCGTACTGTCTGCTGTAGCGTTCCTGCTGCCACTCTTGCTTTTTTCCCCTCCCAGATGAAGTTGCTGATGGTGTGCTGCATATTTTTGAGGTATTGCTTTGGTAGGGGTATCTGTAGCGTACGAAAAAGGTATTGGATTTTTGGTATTAACGACATTTTGACTGCTGCTATGCGTCCTGTCCATGACAGGTATTTTCCCTTCCATGCTTGCATGGAGTCTGTGAACTCTTTGTGCATGCGTACATAGTTGTGGTGGAATAATTTAGCAGGGTTTTTTGTAAGTTTGAGGCCCAGAAAGGTTAGGTGGTCGTTTCTCCAGTCTAAGGGGAATGCCTCTCTCAGTCTGGACGTGAGGTTTGTGTCTAGGTGCATCCCCAACGCTTGTGTCTTGGTGACATTCAATTTGTAATATGCTACTTCACCGTATGTTTCTATATGTAGCATCAAATTTGGCAGGGAGATTAGGGGCTGTGTGAGTGTGACTAGGATGTCATCTGCAAATAGATTGAGCTTGTACTCCCTGTCTCCTATTGTGATGCCCTGTATGGATGGTTCCGCCCTTATCGCCGCTGCGAGTGGCTCTAATGCCAGGATATACAATAGTGGGGACAGGGGGCACCCCTGCCTGGACCCATTCGTTATGTTGATTTGTTTGGACTCGAATCCTGCATTAAGTACCCTTGCTGTGGGGTGGGAGTATAGTGCTTTTACCCCATTTATAAATGAGCTAGGGAACTTGTACTTTTGGAGCACTGCTTCCAAAAAAGGCCAATTAAGGTGATCAAAGGCCTTTTCTGCGTCCAAGGAGAGTAAGACACCCTCCGTCCGATTTCGTCTTAGGCTATGTATGAGGTCGATCACTTTCCTCGTGTTGTCTGATCCCTGTCTACCTGTGGTAAAGCCCACCTGGTCATCATGTATCAGTGTAGGGATGATGTGTTTTAGCCTATTTGCCTGTATTTTGACGTAGATTTTTGCGTCTGTGTTTAGTAAGGATATTGGCCGGAAGTTTTGACTACATGTGGGTGGTTTGCCTGGTTTTGGAAGTGTTATAATGTGGGCTCCTAGCATGTCTGTCGGGGCTTCTGCTTTTCGGGTGATGGCATTTAAGGTGTTTGTTAGGTGTGGTGCAAGAGTGGCAGCAAATCGTTTATAGTACGCGTTGGTAAACCCATCGGGTCCTGGTGCTTTCCCCTTGGGGAGGCTCGCTATTACCTTTAGCACTTCTTCCTCCATGATAGGGGCTTGTAGGCCCTCCCTCTGGTCCTCAGTAAGGCCCGGCAGTGAGATACCCTCCAGGTATCGTTCTGTTCGTGTTTGTGACGGTTGGGGGGTATTTGGGTCCTGACCCAGGTTGTACAGGGTCGTATAGTACTCGGCGAACACGTCGCTGATGTCTTTGGGTGTAACCCTTTTTTCCCCTTCTGAGTTCAATATGAATGGGATTTTTGTTTGTGCGTTCCTTTGTGACAGTCTCCTCGCTAAGAGTTTGCCGGCTCTATTTCCCTGGGTGTAGTGGGCTGCCTGAAGCTTCCGTATTGTGAACCCCATTTTTACTAGGTCATGTTTTTTGCCTTCGTCTATTACTTGTTTAATTTGTTCTAGGAGCTGTGGGGTTGGTGTTAGTTGGTTCTGTTTGGTTAGATTGTAGAGGGTAGTCAGCCATTCTTTTCTTTTTGTTTGGGTTGCCCTTTTTATTGCACTTGCTTTCCCTATAAGGAGTCCCCTTACAACTGGTTTGTGGGCCTGCCACAGTGTTTCTGGTGATATATCTGGAGTTGTGTTTGTGTCAAAGTAGTTGGAGAGGTCGTCTTTGACTGTGTCGCAGTATTGTCGGTCTGTTAGTAGAGATTCATTTAATCTCCACGGGCTTCGGTGCTTGTAGTCATATGCGTCACATAGCTCTAAGGTTATTGGGGCATGGTCTGACCACGTTATGGTACCTATCGTGCAGGACATGATGTGGTTGAGGTGGGCACCTTTTATATAGTACCCGTCAATACGCGAGTATGTGTTGTATACCTGAGAGAGGAAGGTGTAGTCCTTCTCCCCAGGGTGTTGCAATCTCCATGCGTCATAGTAATCGTGTTCTTTGAGCAAGCGTACTAGTGGTTTGCATTCCCTCTGGAGGGTAGCTGATCTGGGGGTGTTTGGCTGTACTGTGGTATCCCACTTGGGGTCCAGTATGTGGTTAAAATCCCCGCATAATATAGTAATGCCCCTCTGGACAGATTGCACTAGTGTGATGACTTTATGTAAGAAATTCCTCTGGTGCGTGTTGGGTGCATATAGGTTGACTATCGTATATTCTAAGTTGTTGATTTCGCATATCATGATAATATATCGTCCTTCTTTGTCTATGGATACGTATAACGGTTTGAAGGACACATGAGGATGATGAGGATGGATACCCCTTTCGTTTTGGACGTGGAGGTGCTATGGAATTGAGCTGTGTATTGCGCCTGGGCTAGGGTTATTGATTTTTTGAGGTGTGTTTCCTGCAGGCACACTACATCGGGGCATTCCCTGCGCAGATCTCTTATGAGGCAATATCGTTTTACTGGCGTGTTTAACCCTTTTACGTTATGACAGTGTATCTTCATATTTTATTGTGTGGTGTTGAAGTATCTTGCTTTTGACTTTGGGGGTCAGTGTCTGGTGTGCTACCCCTCCCTGGGTCCTATGGTCTCCATCTCGGATATGTACTACGTGGTCTCCAACCTGTCTGGTGGTGGGGGCAAGGGTGGGGTGGTGTGCAAGGGTGGAAGCAGTCATGCTAACCATATGCAAGACCTTTGGGGTAAACAGTGCAACATAAAACAAAACATACAATATCACAGTATTACAATTGAACATTTCCCACTGAAGGGTGGGGCACCCATTATGTGGTGCCAATGGGGTGCGTGGTGAACCCTGATGAATGATGTGTGCGGTGTAGCCAGGTGAGCATGCTATGCCCATTACTCGCTGTCTTTTTGCCTGCGTGTGGTTTGTGGCTAAATTGTGAAAGGTGAGATGGGTGTGAGTTCCAGCGTGTCTGGGGCGTAGCGTCTAGACAGGCCTGTATATAGGTCTGGGCTCCTATCAAGTTGTTGTGAGTGGGTGTTTTTTTTTTTTTTTCCTCTCTTTCTGTCTCTATTTAGTGTGCTGGGCACTGACATATGCCATGTTAATGGTGTGGCTGTGTGTGTTGTATAACGAGTGATAGGATTTGAGTGTGCGTGTCTTGTGTGTCAGGTATACTTGCGGCCCAGTGTCCATCTACTCCCTCTTGAGTCTCTGTTAAGTCCCATCTCTTGCTTGGAATCCCTTGTTGGGATCATTTTTTGGCCCTCTTCCACTCCGGAGACAGTCTGCGCTGATCTGCAGCCTTTGCCCCTGCCTGGGTTGGTTGAATGCCCCAGCTGCGCAGTAGTTTGTGGCCTTCCTCTGGCGTGTTGACCGTTGTCAGTGTGCCATTCCTCCTGATCAGCAGGCGGACCGGGTATCCTGGATGCCATTGTTGCGCAGGGCCTCTGTGGTCGTTTTGAATTCTTTCCTTTTCTGTAATGTAGCCGCTGACAGATCCGTGAAAATTTTTATGTGGGTGAATTTTTGTGGCAGATCACTTTGCCCTCTCGTGGCCTGGAGAATTGCCTCTTTTACGTGGAAGTAGTGGAGGTGGGTTAGCACATCCCTTGGTGTGTCTTGCGGCAGGAACGCTGGCTTTTGGACCCTGTGGTACCTGTCCAGGATCAGCATCTCCGCTGGTAACTCGGGGGTCAGCGCTTTGAAGTACTCTATGAGGAAGGGGTGCAGATCTTGTTGAGACACCTCCTCCGGTATGCCTCTAATTCTCAGATTTTGTCTTCGAGAGCGGTCTTCCAGATCCATGATTTTTCTTTGTGACTGGTCCAGTAGCTGCTGCAGGTTGTGCATTTGGTCTGCCAGCTCGTTATGAGCAGATGTCTGCTCCTCCACGCGCTGTTCCACCCACGCGGTCCTGTCCCCCAGCTCCTGCACGTCTTTGCTGAGCTCCCTCAGGGTGCTTTGGATGGACGCCAGGATTTTGCTGGACATATCCTCCAAGCATGTCTGCAGGAAGTCTTGCGTTACTGGTAGGTTGTGGGAGCCCGTGGGTGTCCTTAGCGGCAGTGTGTCGTTCCCGCCGTCGCCATCTTGGGCCTGGTCTAACAGGCCTGTAGCTTTCGGCGTCGATGCTCGGGCCGTGAAGAACTCCGACCTGTCGGATTTTTCCGCTTGCTTCTTGTGCTTTGGGTGGGACATCGTTGGGTGAGTCGGGGGTCCCGGTTTTTCCCCGCAGGCAATGCTTTTTATGTCGCTTTTAGGGCTAGCTGGGAGCGGAGCTCAGTCCCGTGCGTCCATCCGCGTTGCCCGCTAAGCCACGCCCCTCGTGGTGAGTTATTTTGAGGGGACAGCAAATTTACACTGTTATACAGGCTGTTTACTTACTACTTTACATTGTAGCAGAGTGTCATTTCTTCAGTTTTGTCACATGAAAAGATATAATAAAATATTTACAAAAATGTGAGGGGTGTACTCACTTTTGTGCAATACACATACATACACACACACACATACATATAGACACACACACAGACAGACATGCACACACACACAGACAGACACACACACATACATACAAACACACATACATACAGACACACATACATACACACACACATACAGAGAAACATTCAAACAGACACATATACACAAACACACACACACACACACACATACATACATACAAAAAAAAACACACATATCCAAAATGTTTTAGTCACCCTCCTGTTTCCTACCTTCTAAGTGCAGGAGGGTGACTTTCCCTGGGGTCCAGTAGTGGCTCAGCCTGATGGGAGTCAGAGTTCCCACTCTATCTCCTTCCTCTTTGTCCCACGTGGCGCTGTCTGTAAGCTGGGAGGAGTGACCGGGGCAGTCACTTCCTCCGAGCTGTGATGTCATCTCAACATTCAAACAGACACATATACATAAACACACACACACACACACATACATACATACAAAAAAACCACACATATCCAAAATGTTTTAGTCACCCTCCTGTTTCCTACCTTCTAAGTGCAGGAGGGTGACTTTCCCTGGGGTCCAGTAGTGGCTCAGCCTGATGGGAGTCAGAGTTCCCACTCTATCTCCTTCCTCTTTGTCCCACATGGCGCTGTCTGTAAGCTGGGAGGAGTGACCGGGGCAGTCACTTCCTCTGAGCTGTGATGTCATCTCAGGAGGCCCGGTCACACTGTTAAAGCGCCACAGCGCTGAACGGGCACCCTGGAAATCCATGCTCTTAAGGCCCCTTCAATGTGGCCCCCGGCGATTCTACCACGTGTCTGTGGCCACAACACATGGCGGTGGGCACCGCGGTCATGGGGGTCTGCAGGGCGGCATGGTCCCTTGGAGTGGCCGTCCCAGTCGCAGCTGCGACCTCTGCAACCACGGTAGTTCCGCCACTGTCCACTGGGTATAACTGATGGAAAATACTGTATGAAGTGATAAAATCACTTTTATCACTTCTTATAGAACTGGCCATTCAGAAGCAGAGAGTCAGTTTAACATAGAGATATGCAGAGAACTGGTTAAATTTGTACTTCATTTAATAACAATATACACCAGGAAACACTCCACCTCACTCATTATATATGATATATTATATTGCTGCTCAAACATTTTCCTCTTTGTGTATCTTAATATTTAATGTTATCTTGCTACAGTTAATAAAAATGTTTTCCTGCGGTAATGAAATCCTGGATTTTGTACTAATGAATTTAAATGAAAGTTGGAAATGATGTTTAAATGTATTTCTTTCGTAAAAAAATAAAATAAAAAAATAACAATTACAATCTTACTAGTACTTTTATTGCAGAAGTGTAGCTCTAATGTTCAGCATTCTCATACTATTAACTAACTGGCACTATTTTTCTATCTATTAAAAACATTTTAACCACAATAATGCACAGGGGAATTCTAAAGGTGTTACGGGTTACTGAAGCAGGATTTATGACAGTCATTATCATCATGACTTGATTATGTATTTTCTTTGATTTGCACAGTCAGTTGTAGCCAGTTAGATTAGCCTGATTTAATGAAAATAACATTGTTGGAGCTTGTAAATGATCTTCGCTGTACTTATCAATCTATAATTGGTCATTTGTGTACAATTTTTAAATGCTGTTTTAAAATGCTTTTGCTGTACATGAAAACAAACAGTGCATATTCTTTGGATATGCAATGTGAATAAGGCCGTATTCTTGCATTTAAGAGTCCCTCGTTCATAGGGACAATTCCCTCATGAAACATAAATCCTTAATTTCCTACCCTAGGAGTTCAGACCATATGGTGTTTTATGACTGTATCGCAGAGGTCCACAGCAATAAAAATGACAATAATGTGTATTTAAACTTCAGTTTATGTGGTTATAACACATTAGCTTGCATAAATAAAGTACTTGTTCTAAATGGCTTGCCAATTACATAAACCGCTATAAAAAGGTCAAGATCTGACCTAAAATTCTTCAATAAAGCTCAGATTCTCCAGTTATACCTCAGTTACTCTAGCTGAAATACAAATGCAGTAATCAATAATTCTCAATGATAAATCTATATTTTGTACGTGATTTAATATCCCTGAGGGTATTAAGCAGGGCAAAGCAGTTTAAAATATTACCAGTAGGTGTGTCAAAGCAAAATATTTTTTAAGAGTCTTTTTTTTTTTTTATGGCTAATTTACTAGCATTCTATTATTCGGTCTATCCTCATACTGTTGCTTAAAGCCAAAACATGCCTTCAGGATCCTGCAAGGAATGACAGAGAGGCTTCTCTAGGCTAGGATTCAAAATTTGTTATAGTTTTTTCTGCAGTAGTGTTCAGTGTTCTGTTGCAAAGGACCTTACTGTCATTTTCTTTTATGTTATTTTTTTTGTAGACAAAAGACATAATTGTTTTTTCCTATGATACTTATTGTCTCTTTTTGTCACTTAATAAGAAACCATGTTATGTATTTTAGTATATTCTACTTTGAAAATTGAAATGTAGCTCATTAAGACCCAAATCCCTAGAAGTTCGTTCTAACACTGATTTTTCTCCTGAACTAAAGAAACATTTCTCTGTGACGGAATCTGCATCCTTGCACACGGGCTGTAAATGTTAGTGTAAAACTTATCCTAATTTTAATTATGACAGGAGGCACATTTTTTGCTTATCACTTCCTTTACTGAACTCAATAGCAGCAAAAATTTACCTGGTACCACATTAATCAATGAAATATAAGAACACGTCTAAATGCTAAGATAATAAAGTCTGGAATAAAATGGAGTCCCAAAATGTATTTCTACAGTCCTGAAGAAATATTGAAGAAAGAATGAAAGAATGAGCAAAGAACCTTTCATGTCTTGGAATAGAAGAAACAGATCCATTGAACATCCTCAAACAGTAAATTCTACACAAACTTCATATTGAAAGAAAAAATGTGTGTAAAGTGCTGGAAATAGGAAGAACATATAATAGTATAATGAGTTCAAATATATTACAAAAAATAACATATGACTAATCCAGAAACAAATTTCAAATAATAAAAAAGGTCATCAAAACAATGAGCCAATGAAAAAATGGCAAGTGATGGAAAATATTCAGCTCCTGTCATTGTCAAAATGTAAATTATTAGTATGCTAAAGCAAGCATAATCTACATTTTTATGACATGACAGTTGGCATCATATTTTGCAGTTTTGACAGTCAGAAGGGAGCAAGAATGGACAAAAGTGGAATACTTAAAAGGTATCTTCTCAAGACCAAAACGAGCCAATCTAAGAATGTCTGAAAAGTTACACTTTGAAAGAAATAGGCTGCAGTTCCATGACCAAATATGCACCTAAAGAAGGATCTATGCCCGCTAAAGATAACAACAAGGGAATCCAATGAGCTACAGTAATAACTGAAACCAGATTATAAGGACGAACATAAAATGAAAGCTGGAGGACTAAGACGAGCTAAGAGAGGTTCTAACTGAAACATACGGAAGGAGCGTAAAACACACAAAAAGTTTGGCTGTATTAATCATAGTTTGGAAGTCTTGGTTGGGAGATGGAGAATCCTCCATAGTGATCTAAATGAGCTGCAGGCAGTAACAGACCAATTAAACAAAATGCAGCAAGCACAGGTTCACCTAAGCAAAAACTGGGCACAGAGAGGCAATAGTATGCACTAAACAATATGACATAATAGGCATAACAGAAACAACATGGGGTGAAACACATGACTGTGCAGTTAACTTAAATGGTTATACAATATTTAGGAAAGATATAAAAAGATAAACATGAGACTGGGTGGTACAAAAACTTATCAGCCTGATCGGTCACTAGGATGTAAATTCGGACATGAATGCGGATGCATATGAAAGGACGCGTTTCAAGTGCTTGCATTGTATGGGAGAATGCCAGAGGAAGCAGATAAGGCCTCAGCAACCCTGACAGTGACAAGGAAAATGTGGACGCATATGAGTAGATATCTGCTTGGGAAAAAGAAGATAAACCAGTTGTTGGTTGGGAATGTTATAAACCACCTCATGTTGATACTGATGAGGTACAGCTGAAAAACAGCTGTTAGAGCAAATTGGGAAAGCAGCATATCTGGGTAAAACGTTAATTATTGGAGAATTGAATTACCCAGACATGAATTGTAATGCAGGGACTAGAAGTTTAGCAAAAGGAATCATGTTTTTGAGCTTGTTAAATTACACCTTCATTTTACAAGTGGTACAAGCGACAACTAGAAACAGGGCCGGTGCAAGGATTTTTGGGTACACCGGCGAAGATGATTTTGGAGCGCCCATCCCCACCCACGAGTACTTTAAAATATAGCACAGAGGGTTGTCATTAATGGTAAATTTTCAAGCTGGACAAAACTGGTAAGTGGTGTCCCTCAGGGTTCTGTTTTATAGGCATTCAAAGTAATGTTTCAATATTTGCAGATGACACAAAACTCTGTCAAGTAATACATCCTGAGAAGGATATTACCTTGCTGCAGAGAAATTTAGATAGATCGAGGGACTGAACACTCAAATGGCAGATGAAATTTAATGTAGATAAATGCAGATAAATAAGTTATGCACTTCAGGGTAAAGAATGAACACGTATCCTACACCCTTAACTGTAGGACATTAGGGATAAAAACACACAAGAAGTGTATGGAAAAAGTTATAGACAACAAACTGGGCAACAATGTGCAATGTCAATCAGCAGTTGCTGAGGCTTGT